CTTTGCTGTTGCCTTTGTTTTTGTACGTCTGGCTGTCTGCCCATCTGCCGCCGCTTTGTCCTGTTTGCTCCGTTACTCCCATGCCCTGGTGCGTAGTGCCTGGTGCTGGTACGTTACCCTTTGATTTTTTCTTTGGGCGGGTGTGGGAAGCGTCCTCCTTTATTTTTGTTTTTGTTTTATTTTGATCGGAAACGAGGGCTCTATTCTCGAACGGTCGGTGCGATACCTGTTCTTTCTATCATTTTGTTTTGTTTCCCCCGCGGCGTCGGATGTGCCGGGTTTTGAGACCACGGGCTCCCCATTTTTTGTGGACTATAGAGCTAATGTGAGAAACAACAACAACAACAACAACGCCCGAGTGCCACAGATACGCTTTGGCCCACTGCGAAAGGTGGTACATACCAAGCGGTGTGTACACGTACTAGATTTGCCCTTCAGCAGATTGTATTGTGGCCACGTGGGTAGCACACGGATCCCTGCCAAAATTTTTCCGTTGCCTCAAGAGCGACTGCTGTAGCTGTTGGACCACTTGATGTTCCATGAACATGTCCAGGCGCACGATACGGTAGTCTGTTTTCTCCGACGGAACATGACCGGCGTCCCCTGTTTTCAGGCTCCAGCTACCAGATGGTCCATTATGCGGCCATCTTCGTGCGGCCTTCACACATATTCAAGAACCCCCCCTGGGCTCCGTTCACCACGCCCTCTTGCGCGGTCTTCAATGGCAGGAAATGGAATTTCTCTTGGCTACCGTACATGACACAAGATAACACACCCCCTGGACCAAAAATAACAGCTCGATTACTCCACAACGAAGATATATAAACGAAACGATACATTTTTGAAAAGCTCTCGAAGAGACGGTTCCAACGCGGCCGTTTTCGGCGCTACGACTCTCTCTGTTGTTGAGAAATTGAGATTTGAAAATCGGTCGAGGGGGTGTGTTATCTTGTGTCATTTACGGTACATCCCTCGACTTCTGTCGGTATTGCTGTGAACGGTAGAAATATGACAGCTTGGTCGGTGGGGTAGAGACACACAGATCGGTCGGTGGGTATGGTATCTCTAGCTAGGTATCTCGACACTTGTTGTATGCCGAAAATTGAGCAGATAGAAGATGCGCGGCAGCAGACCTTCTGATGAATACTGCTCACGTCCAATCTCCTCTCCGTTTGCTATGCACCGGTGCGAGTGTGCGTGTCCAAAATTGCGACGATGAGTCGTGAACACGAAGGAACAGCGCGCTGCACGTGCATGCTGAGCGAGCAGACGGAAAAGGTTCCACACATACTCAGGGTGAAGGCCGACCTACAGCAGTACAACCGTCAGCCAAGCAGCAGTAGGGGAATACCAGAGATTTTCCGGGACATACACACAAGAAGCTTCGTTGGTCGGAAGGCACGGGTTGACGACGGTTCCCACAATAGCGCCAGTTGAAACACCTCTGGCGGTGTCCTACGTCGTGAGACTACGTACAGACAGCAGCAGTAGACGAATTCAGTGTTGTTGCGTTGACCTTGAGTTGCCGTTGCCCACGATGAGCAACCAGGCGACGACGTGGCACCAGGCAACGAAGCAGAGGGGGCAACTCAGTAGAGGTAGGACTCATTTTGGGTACACCCAGCTGAATCGCTGTTATCACAGATCAGGGGCGGCATGCCATCATGCGCACAAAGTCCTTGATGGTTTGTTGTCATGAATGTAACATGAACCCGTTGAAGGCATCCACGGCACGTACATTCTCACACACAGAAGGCCAGCTAATGTCGGAATTCGGTACTTACCTCACGCAGAACGAAATCACAGCAACGACGGGGCTGTGAATGGCGCCCCCCACTCACTCTGTGGCTCTTCTCTGCTTTCCTTGCAAGCGAAACGTGGCAACGCGCGAACAGCTAGGCTAGATGAGAGATGTCCTTTGCTTGATTTTGTGATTGCGCCGCATTGGAGCTCCATCTCGCATTCTCGCATTTCATTTTTTTACATTTTTTTTCGAATTCGCCAATTCGCCGAAAAGCAGTGCACTGGGCGGCGCGTTTGGAAAGCCTTGCTTGCTCTCCTTGCCCCCAACACACGACCTTGGCTACACGCCAATAGCCCGGGAGGGGCAAAAAGGGCCTGCTGGTGAGGATTGCGACGTGCAACCGCCACCATTTTCGGCTGCGATTGTGTTGGCAAAGCCTCTCTAGAAACAGCCGGGACGCGAAGGCTCTTGGAGGGATGAGGAGTCGAGTAGGCCTAGGGCGTTCCCAGCTGCGTCTCTGCTGCAGAAGGCTAGCACGGCCATCACCGAGGAGGGGAGCAGCAGCAGCAGCAGCAGCCTCTCCTGCGACGGTTAGTGCACGGCATTCAAGTACCGCCAGACCTAGGGCGAGGAAGAAGGGCGGGATGGCGCTAGGAGCTGTGGCATCCGTAGCGGCCGTGGCGGCGCTGCTGAGGGAGGCGCAGCTGCCGGATAGATTTGCGGAATGGGACGATGAGGTAGGGGGGAGGCGGAGATAAGAGAAGGGCGATTTCTGACACATTGACATAAAAGCATGCACGCCATTCAACACGCACGCCATCGTGTTTCGATGTCGTCCCAAGATATGTGCAACCTCTCTGTAGGTATACGCCGACTTTGCATACAGTTAGCGCCCGCAATTGAGAACCGCTTATTTCAGGTCCAGCCTCGAATTCCTATTATTGTGGGCTATAAACTCAGCGTATGTCGTTCAATTTCTCCAGTTTCAAGTTTTTTTTGTTCTTCAGGGTAGTCCCCGGTACCAGTTTTTTTGACGGACACAAAACGGGACGGTTTGCAAAATGACGGTAGGTTTTTGGCGGTTTGACGGTACTTCGTTTTTTGACGGTACCACTTTTGGCGGTTGACGGTCCCGCCGAATTTGCCGGTACTTTTTCGGCGATTTTGCAGCATGACGGTGCTTTTTTTACGGTTGGCGGTACTTCGTTTTATTGACGGTACTTTTTTGACGGTACCGCAATATCACGGTACCACTTTTGGCGGTTGACGGTACTCCGTTATTTGACGGTACCTGTTCGGCGGTACTGCAAAATGACGGTAATGGCGGTGCTTTTGGCGGTTGACGGTATTTCCTTCAAAGACCACGCCATCGAGATGTGATCAGATCGTCAAATTGAGAAAATGAAAAACTGAGCAGCCACGCGGAAACATGCAACACGAAAAGAAAACAGACGGACAGATCGATGCGACCGGTTCACTTGCATTCCCACCCAACGAATCGCCAGCAGCAGCACCTGCACCCTCGACACTACTGCTGTTAGTACTACCGGACTTCCCCTGTACAGCTGCCATCTTAGTGGTTCTGCTGGACCGCATGTGTGCGTGTGTGGCTGCAGGCCGCGGTCTTGCGACCATCAACGCCAAAGGCCACAAAGCAGAAAACAGGTTCTACCGAAAAGCAACAAACCAGCTCGATAGAACCAAACGAAGTCATACGAAGAAAAAAGTAAAAGCAGAAAAAAAAGACAAGAAAACACAGGATGCCGGAGTTGAATTGCAGTTCCTCTCTCGACACGTCAACAAATAAAAAAATGACCAGCACATGATGCTGGCGGACTCCTCTCGATACTTTTTGACGGTATCGCAGTATAACGGTGCTTTTTTGGCGGTTGACGGTACTTCGTTATTTTGACGGTACTTTTTGACGGTATCGCAGTATGACGGTACTTTTTTGACGGTACCGCAATATGACGGTACCACTTTTGGCTCTTGACGGTACCGCCGAATTTGCCGGTACTTTTTCGGCGGTTTTGCAAAATNACCAAAGGCCACAAAGCAGAAAATAGGTTCTACCGAAAAAGCAACAAACCAGCTCGATAGAACCAAACGAAGTCAAACGAAGTCAAACGAAGAAAAAAGAAAAAGCAGAAAAAAAGACAAGAAAACACAGGATGCCGGAGTTGAACTGCAGTTCCTCTTTCGACACGTCAACAAATCAAAAGATGACCACCAAATGATGCTGGCGGACTCCCCTCGATACTTTTTGACGGTATCGCAGTATAACTAACGGTACTGTTTTGGCGGTTGACGGTACTTCGTTATTTTTACGGTACTTTTTGACGGTACCGCAATATGACGGTACCACTTTTGGCGGTTGACGGTACTCCGTTATTTGACGGTACCTGTTCGGCGGTACTGCAAAATGACGGTAATGGCGGTGCTTTTGGCGGTTGACGGTATTTCCTTCAAAGACCACGCCATCGAGATGTGATCAGATCGTCAAATTGAGAAAATGAAAAACTGAGCAGCCACGCGGAAACATGCAACACGAAAAGAAAACAGACGGACAGATCGATGCGACCGGTTCACTTGCATTCCCACCCAACGAATCGCCAGCAGCAGCACCTGCACCCTCGACACTACTGCTGTTAGTACTACCGGACTTCCCCTGTACAGCTGCCATCTTAGTGGTTCTGCTGGACCGCATGTGTGCGTGTGTGGCTGCAGGCCGCGGTCTTGCGACCATCAACGCCAAAGGCCACAAAGCAGAAAACAGGTTCTACCGAAAAGCAACAAACCAGCTCGATAGAACCAAACGAAGTCATACGAAGAAAAAAGTAAAAGCAGAAAAAAAAGACAAGAAAACACAGGATGCCGGAGTTGAATTGCAGTTCCTCTCTCGACACGTCAACAAATAAAAAAATGACCAGCACATGATGCTGGCGGACTCCTCTCGATACTTTTTGACGGTATCGCAGTATAACGGTGCTTTTTTGGCGGTTGACGGTACTTCGTTATTTTGACGGTACTTTTTGACGGTATCGCAGTATGACGGTACTTTTTTGACGGTACCGCAATATGACGGTACCACTTTTGGCTCTTGACGGTACCGCCGAATTTGCCGGTACTTTTTCGGCGGTTTTGCAAAATGACGGTACTTCTTTGGCGGTTGACGGTACTTCGTTTTTTTGACGGTACCACTTTTGGCGGTTCACGGTATTGCGAAATATGACGGTATTCCCGCGGAGTACCGGGACCGACCCACCAGACGGGAAAAAAAACTCGGGAATTTTCCCGAGGACTACCTTGCTTATTTTGGTGCCGCCAAATCCTGCTGATTTTCTTCAATCGGCAGTTTCTTTCTCTGCTCACGAGAGCTGGCGGAGAGCATCATCAAAACCGTACAGCAGACAGCATATCGTGTTCGCAGCCTGTCTGGTGTGCTGTGCCAGAGCCGGAGCGCCAGAGAGCGCCAGAACCGGCAGGGGGCCGAAGGGGGGCGCGCAGTAAAAACACACTCCCCCCTCGTCGTATNTGGTTTTGCAAAATGACGGTACTTCTTTGGCGGTTGACGGAAAATCGTTTTTTTCACGGTACCACTTTTGGCGGTTCACGGTATTGCGAAATATGACGGTATTCCCGCGGAGTACCGGGACCGACCTACACGACGGGAAAAAAAACTCGGGAATTTTCCCGAGGACTACCCTGGAAAAAAAGTACCGCAATTGTGCGTGTTATGGCACCGGGCTGCGATGTTTTTTTCATTCCTATCTAGGCTTTGTCTCGCACCCCGGTGCCATAACACCGATGGGTGCCATAACACCGATACTGGTGAGGGAATGCAATCATTTCGTTCTAGATTTACAACGCACCCCGGTGCAGTGACACCGATGGGTGCGATAAGCAAGAAATCACACTGGCCATTTTACGGTGCTGTGAGAACGCACCCCGGTGTGATGACACCGATAGGTGCGATACTCAACAAACGAACACAGGCGTTTCCTGGTACAACTACCGTGATTGTGCGTGATACGGCAAAGATGGAGCGGCTGCGTGCGCTCAACAAACGAACACAGGCGTTTCCTGATACAACTACCGTAGTTGTGCGTGATACGGCAAAGATGGAGCGGTTGCGTGCGAGTTCGGGGTAGCGTGTGCCAGAGACAACAGACGCTGTGGTTCCCTGCTGGGAAACGCATGTATACGGTACGGTGTCGGTTCCTTCCGACCTCTATGTTGGTCGCAAGCCCCTCATTTGTTGGCTGATTCTTCCCTCTGTCTTTGTCTGCCTCACGGGGCATGGCACCGTTACAATTGCAGTACCGTTTACGAACTCCTCTTCGGTTGATTGAAGGTGCGTGATTTGTGCTGTCTGTGTACTTGAGTGAGTGAGTGCATTCGATGCACGGATTACCGTAGAAAAACTTTGATCATTTCTACTCGCATACCTCGACGATACGATGCACACTACATGCAGATAGCGCCCGCACTTAATGACTCAGCTGCTAAGAAATTGAGACTCGCAAAAATCAGAAGCTAAGAACTTGAGCACCAATTGTTAGCTCGGTTAAGAACCCCACACTAGAACCTATATAGCGGCCGTTTGTAGCCCACAAGAGGATGATCAGCAAAATAAGAACCCCAGCCTCGGCCGAAACTAGAGGATGTTAAGTGCGGGGGCCATCTGTACATGATAGGAATGGCGCCCCAATTGGTACCTACCAGACCCTCTCAGCCGTTCGTTACATACAAATCGACCCGTGGCCCGGGAGGTACCGGCACCTTGCGGAAGCACGCAAAATTTCGTCCTAAGCAGGTTTTATGTCGTTGATAGCGCACCGGGTGCGTTAACACCGATACCGGTGCGGAAATGCAATTAAACCATCCCGGTGCCATAGCACCGATGGGCGCAAAATCAAAGATGGGTGCCATAACATGCACAATTACGGTACCCATGCATCAGATGCCAAATTCAAGTTGTTGTGCAGGTTGTTCAACCGACACGGTGAAAACTCTTTCTCCAAGTTGGCACGTCCCACATATATTACGGGCCAGTGGGTGGGCACAAGCAACCAAAAACATCGCCAACGTCAAATGCCCGGACTTTTATCGCCAACTTCGTCCAACATAGCATGAGTAGTATCCAGCCAGTCAGGGACGGCAATTGCATCATCCATGGTGTCCTGTGTGGTCCCGTCCAACTCTCTCAACTCCGGCAATGTGAATCCATCATCCGGGTATTGGGCCATCACCCCAGAAAAGACGTCCTCACCACACCTCTCTACCTCATTGCTGAACAGGTCAGTAAATTGTATTCCATCCTTGCTTGATTCACGGCGGTGGACATTTGAAGAAGACGGGCGCGACCGGGCTGGTGGGCTCATTTGTAGCGCACGCTCATGGTTCCACTCCCACGAGCTAGTAGATGCCATTGGTTTGTCTCCGTTGCTGCAAAGGACATCCATGATCGAGCTGGTAGCTTCCTCGGGAGTGACACCCCCCCACACGATACCGATATGATGTTCCTCGTCGACGACCGGCACATCCTCTCCCTTCAAATGATCCTGTTGGAAGCCGGCACCGTTTCTAGAAGAGTAGGGTGGGGTAGTGAAAACGCTTAATCTTTCACTCGCGATGACGCCCCCAAACAACCTGCAAGAAACGTTCACGAACCAGTGACAGCCAAAACGACTGAGCTTTGAATTTGTGCAGTCCACAGTGGCCCGCCCATTAGACACAGTGAAACGGAATGGACATGACACGGGGGGCTACACCACGGTCCTCGTCCAGCGCTCGGGAAAACAATTGGCCGCCATTTGAGCGAACACGTAACCACAAACAGAGTTACCTACAGCAATGGATTCTGCTCAGCTTCCGAGTTGAGCTTTGGGCCCGGCATCCTTTGCATTTGTTGATCGTTCCCTTGCCCTGCCTGCGGGCTTCCGACGTTTTGTCGGGAACGTTAGCATCCTCCCGATGTTTTAGTTTAGTTTTCGTTTGTGACTGACTGTTGGATAGGTCGTTGCTTCGGAAACTCATTTCGTTTCCTTTCTTAAAAAAGGTACGACAGAGAGGCCATTGCGCAGACGTCAGGCATTGTAACAAAAGCAACGGTCCACTACATGAGTCTTGTATTTGTACATCAAATACAAGGCTCGCGATCCGTTCGTTCAACAATCGAGTAGGCGCATTTTTTCTGCGTTCATGACCTCGCCATGCCCTCGGAGCGTTCTACTGAAGGAACCTAGCAAGTGTGTGCAGTGGGTTAAAACGTGGTTGCTAAAGCCACTAGTCCTTCGGTGGTTGAACCCAAACTGTAACATGTCTTGCGCGTTGCTTACCGAAGGAGTACCAAACATTCCATTGAATACGGAATCATGTTGTCGATCGCAGTACGGGGTGTTCTCCCACCAAAACCGAACCAAGACAACCCGCCCGATCCAGTTACCAGTAATGCGGGTATTTGGAAAAAGCGAAAAAGTAGACACCCGGCGAACACCAAAACAAACTGTTCGAGTCCACGGAAACCGTTGCCACCAAGAATAAGTGCGGCCCAATGCAAACAATACGGGAGCAAACTTGTTCTGGTGATCGAGGACGACCAGGCGACGAAAAGGGCCGAACAACGCCATCGTTCAATATTATACCTGTAGACCGGGTGATTGTCGATGTTCTTGAAACTTCCGAAGCACAACTCCATTTCAAAAACAAGTGCGCCGTTGTGCTGGGGAAAGGTTGGGCAAACCGTTGTGCATGGGCCATAGCAGAATATCAACCCCTACCCACATGCAATGAAAATGGTCGCAGAATGCAGAGAGCCCTTGCCACGCCTCCAACGGCGGTGCTGGCAGAGACGCAGAGGGTCGAAACTGATTGTAGGCCTCCCGCAATCGGTTGTACAGCCCTCGAGCTCTGCAATCGTCCATCGCTGCTAGGGCTGCCAGGGCAGCATGCACAAGGTGGCACCTTTACGCGGTCGGAGGTACGAGGATGACAGAGAAGAAGATGAGACTACACTGTCGCATTGCATTCGGTCAGAATCAATGGTGAACTCAACAATGGAAGAGACACTCAAATCTTGACGCTGAAAAATGCAATCTTGTTTCAGTCTTACAGCGAGCATGTCCCAGACCTCGCCACGACCGCGGGTCGCAACCAGGGTAGCAGCTTGGTGACGAGCACGATCGACTCACCATCCTAACATGAAGCGACAAACGCCAGGGTAGCGCTCAAGGACCTCGACGCAATGCCCTATCTTCTCCAGCATCCCAACAGCGTCCCCGTTCGCTGCCCTGTGAAATACCAGGTTCCTGTTGCACGGTAGATGGTATTGTAGAGATTGCGAAACAAACATGCAGCCTGTGATGAGTCATCGTTGGATGGTATTACACGTTCTCCAGTACGCACAAGTCTCATGTGGTAGTACCCATGTGGTAGTGCTCATATCCAACGGAGCGCGAACCATCGCACGCAAATTACCATAGCAACCATCATGTTGTTCTGACGTCGGGAGCATGTCAGGTCACTTACATCTCACTCACATATTAATGAGGAAGCCGCCCATGCCCGTCCGAACGTTTGGTCTGATTGCCGTACGGTCACGAGGGAAAAAGGGAAACATCGCGAGACGGGTATGTATGAGCATGCGGCATCTCCATGCTGTACGATCGAGCGCTCAAAGAGGGGTCACCCAACAGATGAGCTGCAGAAAACTATGTCCTACGTCATCCTGGAAGTACTGACCTCGCATGCCACTCGAAAACCACCAAGCAAGGTTGAAAGAAACTCACAGATCCACTGCTTCTTGGAGGTTTTCGAAGTCGAGCAGGCCAATTTTGAAACCAGTCACCATGGCATCTGATATCTCTTCCACCCGGGGGGCGTTGCCGTGCGGGCTTGCATCGCCTCTATCCTCCTCGTAGGGCCCATCATCGCTCGAGCAGCTGCGAGTCGCTCTCTTCCCGCAAGCTTCCTCGACGACAAGTTGCACGAACGCCTCAACTGACTGGGCAACAAACCGAAATACGTCCTCTTCGGTTGCAGCTGGGTTGATCTGGATCATCATGCGGAAGGGGGTGGAGGCGGAGCTCTCGTAAACATGCACGCTCGTACAGCCCTATCGTATAGGTTATCTCCGTGGTTAGCCAGTGTGATGCAAGTCGACTTGTAGACAACAACGCAAGCATTGTGTCAAGCCTGATCCGCCTTGGAGTGACCATGAAGCCGCACGAAGCGCAAACGGTCCCCGTAACGATTAACGACATTCACACGGACAGAATTCGGCCCTTGCCCAGTGCGTCGTCGTATGCACTCTCCATCCCAAGTCAATCTACAAGGGTTTCTACAGAGAAGCCCAGCAAAGGTCCGAAAGTTGGCAACCATCACTACCCCACTAATGAGCAAGCAAGATGGTGCCAAGGAAGGAAGAGTACGTCGCGCAAACTCGACAGCCGAGCGAAACCAAACATGCCAAAATAAATATATGGTACACATTAGGGGTGCCACCACACATCCGCAAAAACTGTGTTATGCGGGGGCGGTAGCGTGAATGTGGAAAGTTGCGAGGATTGAGTCAAGCCGTCCCGTATAGCTGCTGCAATCACACGCTCTGTGTACGGGCTATGAACAGAAACCGCTACGGCTCTGGTTCACGTCATCGTCGGGATGACGTGCCAATAGTGCTTGGCTCCAATTCCGAGCGTGCCAAGGCAAGTTTGGTGGAGCATTGCGATGGTGTCTACTACGAGCTCTCGCAGCTGCCATCTTGGAGACGTGGTGGGTGCTGTCCCAGATTGCGAGCACACATTGTCTTTCGAGGAAAGTCAATTTCGGCCATGCGGTACCGGACATACCTGTGGACGATCTTGATGCCGAGTGAACGAGCCGGTATCCACAGCGTCTACATTTCCGCAGAACACCTTAACGCACTCCTTGTAGTGGACTATCTCGGGGAATCCCTGGTCAAGGAACACGCGCATATATGAGGGTTCGACCGGTACGCACATCTAAATAAAAGGCAACAGGACGAGCATAATCTATTTAGGAAAAAATGGCGCCGAATAGTATTTCTCCGTTCACCTGCATGGCGGTGTACGGTAGAGATCGGCCAGGCTACACAGGGCTTCATCGCCGCGTCATTCCGGCGATGAATAACATGTCGTTGCAGTTGGATGGCTCCAATGAATCGAGAACCTGATCGGTCTGAAGGAACCAGTGCCCGCAACGACCCGACTTTCGAGCTGCTGCTGTACGACCGCATCACCCCACTCCCGCAAGTACTAGTTTCACAAACGTGTTGCTCGGATCATCTCGCCCACCATGACCATAGAACGCCGAACATCCAACAAGGTATTGGCGTCAGAGGTGGCTTGGCGCGTCGGGGAAGCTGCTGATCGGGTGCAAGACAGCAAGAATCTCCAACCACCTATGGAACGTCGGCCAAGCTTTCAGTGTGCTGCAAGCGCCGCGACTTCCTGCCCCTAAACCCACCCACAGCTAACACGCGTGCCTCACACGTATTGTCGACCTAAGTATCTGAGCATCTGGAGCATTGTGGGTGCAGTTCATACCCTGGTACCATTTCATGAACGACGGCGCGCCTGCGTTGTTCATGCGCAGCACCAATACGACCGGAAACAATGGTCTTCGAGCAACTGCACTCGAGCGTCTAAGCCCACCCACCCCAACGCCCCCGCGAAACCTCAAGCCATGAGCGGATGGGACTATCGACTCCTGTTGAATCGCGACGGGCCCCCGAATCGTGCTTGCGCCGCTGCGAGTTAGGCCCCCATCGATGGATTGAGAACCCGCTGCTACAGAAGACAACACCACAACAGGATTGGCCAACCAGGTGCGATAAGCTTCCCGCTTGGTAAAATCTAGAGGTGCTAGGTTCTACGTACAGTCAGAGCTTGGAATCGACCGTTCCTGTATTTCCCTCTTCGGGGAGATAGCGGCCGTCTCCTTCATACAACCTGTTTCGCCAGGCAGGGAGGAAGCTCTACCATTTGTGTACAGAAAAAAAAAAAAAACGCCACACTCACCGATGGTAGCGTGCCAGTTGACCCTTGTTCGATGGAAGCAATCAAAAAGGAGTCCGAAAGCTTGAGGTACTCTTCAAACGTCGCCTGAAGCACAAAGCGCATACGTACATAGCGGCGAAACACGAGTGACGACATCCAGTGCCTGTAGACCATTTTCAATACTCGGGGGATCGCTGAGAACGGAAACGCTGGGGGTGGCGCGACGCGATCGGCGCTATCGACGGGAAAGAGAAAACAATATTTGTACACAGGACACGGGGACGATTAAGGGTGCCGTGCGTCCCGCAGGAGTCGAGCTCACCGTGTCTCCCATGAAACCGTAGAAGTACCCCAGGATCGCCCACGCCCTGAATTGATGTTGACGCGAGGACGGGGGAGTAGATGGGCTGGCGGTGTTGGGGGTCGGACGGGAATGACTATCTATCATATTCCCAGCAAAATTCAATACAGTGAGGACTCAGGCTGCAGTACTTCAAGTACCGACAGTGTCAATGCCCAAAAGTGTGGCGAAAAACGTGTCCCATTCAATTGTTCCAAACATGTATCGGTCGGTATTGCCAACCTCGCTGTGTGTGGAGATCGGTTCTTGCCATCCCGGTGCTGGGATGTGTTATCCTGCGTGGCATACGTCAAGAAGATTCGATTGCTTGTCCAGGCCAAAACGGTTGCTGGAGACATGTTTGTAACACGATCTACGTCTAGGAAATTAAAAAATAGCATTGCCCCGCCCCTCCCCTCGGTGTTCGCCCGCCCCCGGTGTTTGCCATCGGGGTTGGGTTTTCGTCGCTTGGCAACGACGTTGTAAAACAAGCCGCCCCCCCCGGTGTTTGCCATCGGGGTTGGGTTTTCATCGCTTGGCAACGACGTTGTGAAACAAGCCAATTCACTTCGTGAAGTCGGCAACCAGGTTAGCGGTTTTTTTTTTACCTCTGTTTTTGTTTTGGCGGTAACCATTTTGGTGGTCGAGTAGATCATGTTGTGCGGGGTGGAGAACCCTCACTCCGCGCAAGGGGGATGATCGCACCACGTTGTGTTGAAATGGTCAAGCACCCTCGAGGCAGTTACACAGTGCTTACAACTGTCTCTGGAAGTGAAAGCACCAGCAAATAAATCAAGTCATACGCGGTTGTTATCCGTATGCAAGGAAGTAAGCACAAGATGCCGAACACCCTTAGCA